GCACCAGGCTTCAATCCTCCATCCTCTCCATCCTCCTGATTCTTTTTGTGAATGTCCCCTTTCTGCACTCGGTGCCCTTCCAGGTGACATCGATGATTCTTACTCCAACTTGAGAGTGACAGGATCCTTAAAATATACCATTGTGAGACTCAGGGAGGGGCTGCAGACCTGGCTCTGTCCTTCGTGCTTGGGTCTGGAAAATGGGATGTCTGGGTTGGACATCTGGTGGCAGGGAGTGGTCCCTCTTTGTGTTAAGTTCTCTGAAGAGGTGGAGGCGGTAGGGTGGACTGGGTGGGAGACGCTTTGGGGTTTAACAGAGAGTTAACTTTGCAGCCAGCTATGATTTGTAGGAGAGCTTAAAGGTGGCAGAGAAAATCCCTTTCTTACATTCAGCAGCCTCTCCTAATCGGCTGCTTCTCCGGGTGGCCCTGCTTGGCTGGCTGCAGATGCATCTCCTCCCCTGCATCTCCAGCTCCCGCTAAGGAGCCAGAGGCCCAGGAGACCTGAGGCATGGTTAGTCTTCCACAGAGAGAGGAGGCTGATCCCAGCGTCCAGAGCCCAGGAGCTTGTAAATCAGACTCTTAGCTTAGTAGCTTGGGCCATTATTCTAAAGCAGTGGGGCTGAAACCAAAAGCCAAATGAAAATATAGTCAATTTGTTCATACTTTAGTGACTGAAAGACTATGTAATGTTGGTGGGGATCGGCACTGCAGACAGGCAAGGGCTAGAGGGGAGGATGAAGTGTCTGGCCAGACATGGGGCTGGGGTGCCCCTTTTCTTTGTGTGTGTGTGTTGTGTGGTGTAGTTGTATGTGTGTATGTGTGATATGTGAGGCGTAGGTACATGTGTTTGATGGGAGTGGTGAACATATGTATACAGCTGCTTGGGTGATACCGTTGTCATTTATAGGAATTGTCGCCTCCTCCCAAATATGGGGCTGCTGGCTACGTGAAGACTGTGTAAGTGGGGATAATACCTCTCCAAACTTCCCCCCACTTGTCTGCGTAGCCATCTTGTGCCAGTTCAATGGTTGGTAATTCCACGGCAGTGGCGGTGGCCAAAGCTATTCTGGCTCATTCACTATCATGTCTTCAGATTCTGAACAGGACCTGGCATGGAGGTTGTCAAGAAAAAAAAACTTGTGGATGGATGGATGGATGGATGGATGGGTGGATGGGTGAGTGGATGGATGGATGGATGGATGGATGGATGAGTAAATGAATCAGGAGGAGAATGAGTGAGTGAGTGAGCAGATGGGTAGGTGAACAAATGAATAGATGCATGAATGAATGAATGAGCATTCACCTTCCTCCTCGGGGCATGTATTGCCAGCTCATTGTGAGCCAGGAGCTCTGGCTAATTCCACACGAGTGTGCCCTGCCAAAGAACTTCCTTAGCATATTTTACAGAACAGAATGTGAATCTCAGACAGGCAAAGCCATTTTACAGAGCAAGAGACCACCCCCACGTGACTGCCTGACACTGGAGGCTCTCCCGCACACACAGATACCAAGCCAGGCCGTTCTCACCTCCCTGCCTGTGGTCTCCATCCTCCTCTGCTGTCCCTAGAACACACTGTAGACAGCACAAGAGTCCCCAGGACACTGAGAGCAGAGAGAGTCAGCCCAGTGGCTCTTGCCTTAAGGGTGGGAGGTGATGACTTCGTGTCCCACATATAAGAAGTTGAGGAAGACTCCGAGCTATTCTAATGGTTTGCAGTCTTTTACCTCCAAGAATCCTCACTCTGCCTCCCACATGGCTCCTTGGCCAGGAAAGAGAAAACCATGGAGTCAGTCCTGAACAAACCTCCCAGGCTTGAGCCTACTCCTTTTTGGATGTGGAAATTGAGGCTCCAAACTTCCAGCTTCTCAACTGGGCCCTCACAGTATGAACATCCTGGCTGGAAGGTTCCAAACCAGCTGCTGGGTAGCCCTCCACCCTGGCACTGCTACCTCCTGCCAACTGCAGGAGACCAAAGACCAGAGACACAGAGACCTGAAAGAAGCCGGGGCCACCAGAGGCCCCGAGTGCCGGGCCCACTGTATGCCCCTGCCTCACCCCGTGGTCCAGAGGTTTTCCCAGCTTCCCTTGTGGCTGGCCGAGAGGGAGCAGAAAGCAGCCCATCTGACACAGTGACCCAGCCGCGGGGTGGCTGCCCCACCCTGCCTGCTGCTTTTCTATGTGAAAGGTGTTTAATTATTTCTGACAGAGTTCAGCCTCGACATCTGTTCATAAGCGGGGAGGGTCCATTTAGGTTATCCATCACCGTGACAGGTTCAACTTTTTTGGAAGTGCATTTTCCCATCATAATGGAGACAGGGTGGGGGCATCAGATCAGCAGTGACATGCAACCCAGACAAAGACCCTCCTGGGGCTTCATGCGCCATCAAACGACAGCAGCCTGACCTGGCCCTGGTGGGCTTTCTGAGCACAGACCCTGCGTTGGCAGCGGGGATGTGGCAGTGCCGGGGCGAATGTGTGGGTAGGAGGGTTTCATTGTGCCTGTGGGAGGCTTTGAAGATCTTTGGTCGTTCTGGGCTGGTTGCTCATTCATTCATTCATCCATCCATTCATTCATTCCAAGGATTACTCAGTACCTCTTCTGTGCCAGGCACCCTGCTTAGCTCTGGGGACAAGACTCGGGCCTTGAAGCTTGGTTCTTGTGGACTTATACGTTATGAAGGAAGATGAAAGTGTGTCTAGTTAATCATCTGACTGCCAAGTTGCTAAGCTCTTCAAAGGGAAGCAGTGAGGCCTGAGGCACCCCTTGGTGATAAGGGGGGAACCTGGTGGGGTTGCCACAGAGAAGGAGTCTCAAGAGCCCCTGGATTAAGGTAGCTCTGTCCTTAGCATCCACCCTGGTGCACTGGTACCCACAATTGTATTCATCCAACACGGTGTGCTGCAGGCTCAGCCAATATTGCTATTGGCCTATGTCCTACAAGGACAGCTCTCAGGGGTTTGAGAGTCTCCCCTGGGCGGGTAATGCACCTGGGCAGTCCTGCTTCAAGAACCTGGCATATATGCTATATGTTCCAGGGCCTGCGTGATGGGTGACTGGGGCACCAACTTGCGGGATCCCAGGGGTGTCCTTGGAAGACACAGAAGAAAGGGGTGGGGCTCTCCCCTGCCCTTCTGTCTTAACTACTTAATGTGTTATCAGCATGGGCGATGAAGGCACAACCCAAGGACGCAGGCTAGCCGCTCCAGGGGGTGTGGAGGTGCCTCGGACCCACTCACCTGCAAGGCACCGTTGAGGTGTTTGTTCTGGGGATAAAATGGCATTATCTATATCGCATTAGCCACACGTGACACCTGCCAGCAGAAAGAGTTGTCACTGCTGGCTCACTGCTCCTCCTAACAGTACCTCAGAAGTCCTAATGAGTAGCAGCGCTCCCCAGACCCCGAGACAAACTCCCTCTCTTGCAAACAGAAACACTGAATTATTTCTACCCTCGAGCTCCTGTCAGGGCCAGCTACTGTGAAATAGAGGCCACCTGGAGGGCATCTTGTGCCCTTGGGACCTGGGGGTCCTGGTGCCCCCTCTGGCAATGTCACCCAGACGCCTACATGCACTTGGTCACTGGCATAACAATAAAAAGGCCACAGAGGAGATGAAGCAGAGGAGGGGCCCAGGAGAAGGTTGTGAATAACTGAATGCAAGTAGAGAGGTCTGTGTGGGGGCAACGAGAGAGACGGAGACACTGGAGGGAGGTTTTGCTGTTGAGACTCCAAGCTGACAGGTGCTAAGAAGAGGCAGTGTGGCCGTGACTCCCGCCACCTCCTGATCAGTGTTCGGTCATGTTCTTTCGGTGACATTTACTGTGAGCTCAGCAGAGGCCTGGGCTGATGGGCAGCAGGGCACATGGTCACTGACATATGTCGATGGAGGCCACTTGGGCAGGACACGAGAGGCCACATCCAGTGGGCCAAAGCAGCTTTCCTGCTGAAGCTCAGCAGCTTGTTCAAGCGCATTAGGCTCAGAAAGGCAGCGGCCCCTTCAATGTCTAACACACAGTTTCAGGCGGCACAGCCGGGCTGGCTGGCTGGGAATATTGCTTGTGCAGCTGTCTTGATGGGGCCAGGGACGTTCGTCATGACCTTCAAGAAAGACTCCTTCTGCCTGGGTTAGGGACACACAGCCTATGCAGCCTCTTGTCCTGAGTCCAACATTTTTAACCCTGCCACGTCCCTCAGCCTGTACAATGCCACTCCCCCCTCCACCGCCCTTGCTGAGCATGTGTCTCTGTCTGGGTGTTACAGGACCACAGGAATGAAAGAACACAAGGTCAGCTCTACGGCCAGAGCACAGCCTAGCCCCTGTATCACAAATTATCTTCACTTAGCCCCAACCCCTCCTTTGGGGGGAACCTAAGGTCATTTCCTGCCATCATTCAGGGGGATTAGCAGTGAGGACACACACTTGTTTCCCATTTAGGTACATCTTTCCCTTGTAAGATACATTAGGACCCAGTCACTAGAGTGATGCTTCCACCCAAGACAGCCATCCCATGCTGAGATGACCTGAGATCTTCCATGACTCTGCCTCTTCCCAGCATTCTCCATGTTTCTTGTCTATAAAACAGGTCACTATCAGCAGGTTGCCCATGGGTGCTTATCCAGAGTCTTAGCTGAGGGCTGATGGGGTGGGGAAGCAGAGACAGGAGGATACTCAGAAGCCATGGACCCGTTAGCCTTCTGCACAACCAACATGAGAATCCACCTGGCTCCAGGTGAGAGCCAAGGAGTGACACGCAGGGTTGTTCTCATCATAGACAGCTGCACTCACACACATACACACACACATATGCAAACTACCCCATCCCTCGTCACACACTAAATATACATTAGAAAAATAGAATTTCTGAACCTGGATGGAGGAAAAGTTCAGAGATGTCGGGTGGTACCTGTGTCCTGAGCATCGTTGGTCAGAAGCCCACAAGAGAGCATCAGCTAGCCCCAGCTTTGGTGCAGAAGAGGTGAAGGAAAGGGCCACTGACCTTCTGGAAGTGAGGCATGTGCCAGAGAGCATCCAGCTTCACGGGCGGCTTGTACTTCCTCAGCTGACTGCTCCGTGTCTCGTACAGCTTCCCCAGGTACACCTGCAGGCCAGAACAGCAGTGGTGAGATGCTCGCCCTGCTACCTGAGACTTTAGAATTGCCATGGAAACAAACCCTCTGAGCCTCGCTGTGGAGGAGGGAAGACTCACACTGAACCGTGAGCACTACCACGGCACAGCCTGGGGTCCTGGACCAATGGAAAAAGAGGAAGTGAGCTGAGCAAAGACGTCCATCTCTCCCTGCTTCCTGGTTGGTGCACTGCACCTCCATCTTTGTGTGCTCTCCACCACGATAAACGCATATTCAACAGTGAGCTGGGAGAAATCCTGCCCTCTTCAAGTTGGCTTTGCCATGCATGTCATAGCAACAATACAACTAACACTCCAGGGCAATGACTAAGGAGCTTGGGGCTGGGGTTCTTGGATGACAGGCTAGAGGGTCACTTTCCTCCAGGCTTTGATCTTTCTTCTAGGCCATTTCACAGCCCCATCCCACTAGCCATGCCCCTGTGTATGGTTCATGGTTGCTTTGATTTCAGGTTGACTATAAAACAAATGGGGTTTCCATGAGCAGCTAGGAGGGAGTTTCTCTTAAACACCTTCTAGCCCTAAAACTAACTTACACAGAGCCCTCATATCTGTGTGAAGAAATGTATGACTCAACAAGGTGTCACTGTCCCATGGAGCAGGTCCATATGATGGCTGGCCCAGGAGGAGGGAGGTGGTGAGTGTCATGAGCTCCTCTTGCAAAGGTGGGAAAAGCCCATCCCTTCTGAGCCCTGATTCTATGCCCACAAAGAGGGACAAGCAGATCCATAGCCTTGTCATGCAGTTCATGGTGTCTGTCCAGAACTGAGGGGTGTCCATTCCAAACTCACATGGTGCACTCTTAACCCTTGTGTGACTGTGTGTAGACAAAGCCCATGAGAGGCGATTAAGGTTAAATGGAGTCAAGGGTGGGTTTCAATCCAGCACAACTAGAGCCCTTAGAACAAGAACTTTTTTTTGTTTTGTTTTGTTTGAAACATGGTTTCTCTGTGTAACTCTAGTTGTCCTGGGACTATGGAACTCATTCTCTAGACCAGGCTGGCCTCGAATTCACAGAGATCACCTGCCTCTGCCTCCCAAGTGCTGGGATTAAAGATGTGCACCACCACAACTTGCCTTTTGTTTTGGTTTTTCAAGGCAGGGTTTCTCTGTGTAGCTCTGGCTCGCCTCAGGCTCACTCTGTAGACCAGGCTGGCCTGGAATTCACAGAGATCTGCCTGCCTCTGCCTCCCAAGTGCTGGGATTAAAGGTGTGTGCCACCATCACCCAGGCGTTAACTAGAGCCCTTAGAACAAGGACATGGGGGGAGGGTGCTGGAGAGATGGCTCAGCGGTTAAGAGCACTGCTGCTCTTCTAAAGGACCTGAGTTCGATTCCCAGCAACCACATGATGGTTCGCAACCATCTATAATAGGATCTAATGGCTTCTTCTGGTATGCAGAGCACTCATACAGAAAATATAAATAAATTTTAAAAAACTAAAAAAAGAATAAGGACATGGGTGATACGTGTTCTACCTCCAGCATGTCAGGACACAGTAGAAGGTGGCCTCAGCAGAAGATCTTCCTACGTCTGAATCCTACACGTTTCTATAAATGTTGTGGCACCATTTGCGGCATATGAGCCCACGTTGTAAAATGGCCTTCTCCCTGTTCCTAGAGCTTTCCCAACTGAGTTAGCCCAAGACTGTAGAACCCTAGGGCATGGCTTAAAGTGACTTAGGCAGAAGCAAACGTATGTGACAACCAGAGAACCGGAGGAAGGGAAACAGGCTTTGTCTTCACAAATTCATATGGTCGAGCTGTAGCACTAACGTGATATGTTTACAAGCAACTGCCAGGCCGTAGGCTGGATATCCACTCTACCTGCTAGAACAAGGTTGAGACTTTAAAGTCAAGGCAGAGAGGCTGTGTAGTCAGGTGGCCAGGCTGGGCTTAGAATGCAGCAGACAGCCCCATGGTCTTTCCAACGCTCCATTTCCCTAACTGGAAAAGGTATGCCAAGGTACGGTTCTTGTAGGAGCTGCTCATGGGTGCTTAGGGCAGAGTAGCTAGCTCAAGGTTCACTAGATGGCAGTTGTCACCAAGAACTTCAGTGGGAGGTCACTGCTGTCTAAGAATCAGGGTCTACTCGGCAGCATGCTGGCTTATGGCAGAGCCAGGCTTCATCTGGGTTGTGAGCAGTTTGATCTTGAAAACTGACCAAACTGGCTGCCTTTTCAAGCCTGGCAAATGGTGATCAGCTCAGACAGCAGCCTGAGCACCTGGCAGCCTCACGGGCATAGGCAAGGCAACATAATTCCTACAAAGCAGGCTCCTGGGGAGTTCAGTGGGTAACCCGAGTTCAGATCCCGGTCCTCACATAAAAAGCTAGGTGTGGCGGTATGTGTCCTCGTCTCTGGGGAAGTACAGATAGGCGGATAGATGCTGGGGCTTGCTGGGCAGAGAGTTTAGAAGAACCAGGGAGTTCCAGGTTTAGTCAGAGACTGTCTCTAGGTGAGACCAATTGAGGAAGACAGTGTTAACATCTGGCCTCTACATGTATGTCTGTACAGCTGAATGCATGTGCGAGACACACACACAGTGAACGAGAAGAGAATTCTGAGGCGGCATTGCCAGTTTCTGGATGCCTGCTGTCTGCTAGCGCATAGGACTCAGACATCCCCAGGGAGTTCCTCCAGCCCTTTGTCCTGGGGGTGGGACCCGCATCCCAGGAAGGAGGCTCTGCCCTTCTGCTGCAGGCCACTGACACCTCTGAAGATCTGCTTTCCTGTCTCTGAAAATGCAGAGCACAGAGGAGTATGCGAACACACGTACCTAGCAGAGTCACCATCTAATATTCCGCTGACTTCTCTTTCCCAGGGGAACCCACCACCTCCTCAGACCCAGTGAGAAAATACACAGGCCTGTTTCTCTGAGCCTTCTTTGCAACGATTCCTGAGTCGGGGAGTTTTTAATCCATATGCTTTTTTCCTGTTCATTTAAAAAATTTTAAATATTTATATATATATATCTCAGATCCTCTGGAAAAGCAGTATTTTTTCTTAGCCCCTGAGTCATTTCTCCAGACCCCCTGTTCATCTCTTTTATCACACAGGCCCCAGCTATGAACCCAGGATGGATGGAAGGGAAGGTATTTTCCTCCCTGAGGCTGGTTCAGCAGGGGTGTGCTTTAGGGAGGGGCAGAGGGGCTGGTTACCAGCTGTTGATTAAAATGTGACACTCCCCCAGGGAGCTAGGAAGCAGCTTGGGGCAGCAATGCTCCCTCTGAAACTGCACTGTCACACAGCGGGTTGACTCTTGAGGTATTAACAGACTGACCACGGGCCGCTTTAAAAACATTTCAGTGCTGGGCTCTCTGATGAGCACCAAGCCGCTGGAGGACACCCATCCTAAGACTACATGATCCCTTCCTGGGAAGACTCCTCTGAACCCCAGGAGGCTCATAGAACCATTTTGCTAATCTGGTGTTCAAGAAGTCAGCAAACAAATGCCCCAGCGTCAAGACAAGCCTGCACTTTGGCAGACACGTCTGGCCAGAGCTGCTGGAGAGTCATTTCATCTCTCTCTCTTTTCTCCTCACGTGTGTGCACGTGTGTGTGGTTGCCCATACACATGTACACACACACCTGTGGATGTCAGAGACTATTGTCTCGAGTCTTCTTCAATCTCTCTTCGCCTTACATTTTTTAGAGAGAGTTTTTCACTGAACCTAGAGCTTCCCAGTTAAACTCTAGGGATTCTGATCATCCCCCAAACCTGTCAGCACTGGGTACCCGGCTTTTAACGTGGGTGCTGGGAATCCAAACTCGGGTCCTGATGCTTTCCTGGCAAGTACTGCACCAACTGAGCCTTCTCCCAAGCCTCTGCTGAGTAATATCTCGGAACCACAGTGTGTCTGTGAAACAGACTATGATCCTAGAGTGAGATGCCTACATGCTGGGGTTCTCAGACCCGAGTACAGGATGTGGGGCACTTGCCGGCCCTCCGAGAAGGGAGCAAGGCTCGGTGCTGCAGGCTGCGATCGTTGAGGCATCTGACATCTGCATGTTTTGTTTGTTCTGATCTCAGGCAGGCTCTCTCCCTCGGCCCAGGCTGGCCTCAGACTTGCTGTGGCAGGAGAGGCCGGCCTTGAACTCCTGACCCTTCTGCCTCCGCGACCCAGGCGCTGGCAGGAAGGGCACATGACACCACACCTGCCTGGTGCCGGGTATTTCTCCCTCCAGGGAAATCTAAAAAGCGTAGACTGACTTGGCAGGCACAGGTTTGGATCAACCGAGGAGGCACCGTGAACTCCCCCCAAGGCTGAAGTTTGGACTATTTTAAAGGCAGAAAGCCTTCGGGCGCCTTTAAATGTGTGAGACAGAATAAAGAAAAGCAGGGAGTGTTTTCTGGTTAAAAAAAAAAAAAGTCACCACAGAGACTTCCTGTCTGTTGCTAATGACTCACATCTATAGTGGTATATTATTTGTATTTTAATAAATCTTGCCTGAAACCAGAAAAGCAAAGCAGCTAAGCCACTACCAAGCTGGGCGACCATAGAGTAAGCAGACTAAGCCTCCCTCTCCTCCCGTTTTATATTCCCTCTAGTGCTGGGATTAAGGGCGCATGACTCCCTAGGACTGGGATTAAAGGCGTGAGCCACCACCACCGGGATTTGTTTCCGCATTGATCTTGTGTAGCCCAGGCTGGCCTTGAACTCACAGAGATCCATCTGCCTCTGTCTCCCAGATCCTGGGATTAAAGGTGTGTGTCACCATTACCTGACCTCTAGTGGCTTTACCTTTGCCTCTGGTCTTCAGTACAGTAGCAACTGGGGGAGTTTGGTTGCAATAGGGACCCTGGATCCCACTGCTCTGAGCTACCCTGGCTTCTCCACACAGCTATCCCTGCCTAGGACGTAGGATAAGGATGCCTCCTGGGCATCCTTTCCTCCTGTTAAAGAAAACATGCTCCTTAACACACGCTTGTAGAAATGGTTTCCTGCCCTGTCATACCAGCCAGTGTGGGGCACACGTCTAGGCTGGTGGAATTGGAGCCCTAGTGTCCTCTGTAGGAAGTCAGACGGGTTTAGAGAAAGATCTCCATATAAAAGTCATTGTGACTTGGTCCTAATCGCAGCTGGGAGGTGACAGGGCCTGCCGACTGGTATCTGGCCATCTCTTTCACATCCAGAATTAGGTCCAAGCGGGAGCAGACCATCACTGAGATGGGTTCAGATCTGAATTTCACGGCAGGAGGATGTGACTGGACCCCAGGCTCCTGCCCCACCCACATCCACTGATGCTGACTCGGCTTCCCTCCGCCCCCCAGGCCAGCTTCAACCCCTCAGAAGTGAAGGCAGGGCTACCTTCTGTTTCTTCTCCAGTTTGATGGCTTGCTGAGTGGCCTTCTGCTCCTGTACCCAGAGCTGCTGGTACCGATGTTGTAACAGGTCAAAGAAGGGTGTGGACGGCCTGTGGGAGGAAGGTTACATAGAGCTTGAGGCCTGGGGATGACCAGGACACCCACATACAGAACAGATCCTGTTAGGGCTGCAGACCCTCAGACCCTGAACTTTCTGTGACCTCTTGCTTGCTGGAGTAATCAACTTGTTTTCCTATGCTTGTAGCTGCTCTGAGCACAAAACCCTCATGAGTTCCTGATAACAAGGAAGTAGTTTCTGGTGGATTTGCAGCTGGAAAATCCAGAGAGCTAGGGCATGGCCATTAGTCAAGGAGAGCCCCATACAAGCTGCCCTGGAACACAATAAAATTGGCATTCTTGTTTCAAGAGTGACCCATGTCTCTGTGTGTTTTAATCCCCAGACCCCTTCCCGATACGGTTCCAGGCGGTGCAGGTGCCGCAAGATACCGCTCTTTCCACTGGGCACAAGGCCCCACCGTCACCAACTGCAGATCACACCACTCTCTTCAAGGCCAGAAAAGGCTTCCTGTAGCACCCAGAAACCCCAGAGATACAGATCCCATGCTCTGCAAACATGGGGCGCCTCCATGTGTTACCTGGATGGGACAAAGATTCTGGCCTTGGGCTGATGTTAAATAGGGTTCATAGGTTCCCTGGACCCTTTCTGCTATGCCTCTCCAGCCCTGGGCTCTGCCCACAGTCTACTGAGGCTAGTCTTGCAGAAAACCCCTGCCAAGCAGGTGGTCTAGCCACAGTGCCTGACTTCTCTGGGGAATGCTCAGGATCCTCATTCCTGGCTTTGTTGTCTGATTTTTCTGATCCATCTCAGCAAGGAGGCTGCCAAGTTGGATGAGCAATACGCTCCCCATTTGGCAGTCGTGACCCAGTCACAGAAGAAGCAAGATGTGACTGCCTTGCTGAGTAAGGTACTGAGCCACGTGGCTAACATAGACAAGAATAATGGACTAATAAAAGTTTAAGAGTTAATAAGAAGTCTGAGCTAATGGGTCAATCAGTTTATAACAAATGTAGACCTCTGTGTGATTTCTTTGGGATTTAACGACTGTGGAAACTGGGCAGAACAGAAACCTCAGACAACACACTGAGCCAGTATTGAGTGCTCTGTAGGTACTGTCTGCAGATGCTGTCTGCAGGTGCCGTCTGCAGGTTCTGTCTTCAGATACTGTCTGCAGGTGCTGTCTGCAAGTGCCATCTGCGGTGCCATCTGCAAGTGCCATCTGCAGGTGCTGTCTGCAGATGCCGTCTGCAAGTGCCATCTGCAGGTGCTGTCTACAGGTACTGTCTGCAGGTGGCGTTTGCAGGTACTACCCTTTGTCATCTCAGCAGTGATAAGGAGAGGCTGGTCCCAGAGCAGTGTGGAGCAGCACTCCAAGTGAGGTTGGCTGAGCCACACACAAGGCTCAAAGTTAAGTCCTTCCAGAGGGTGTGGGGAACCAATCCCAGATTGGGGCTGAGCTCTAAACAGCTTTCAAGATAGAGTGTGCAGGTATTCTGTATAGCAAGGTCTTAAAGTAAGGGGACTGCTGTGCAGCCATTTCCTTTGCCTTCTATCTCTGCACCCTCGCAGAGCTTCCCGCAGCCCATGTCGGGCCAAAGTATTCGGAGGTTCACCACCTCCATGGTCTCCTTGCAGAGGAAGGCCAGGGAAGACTGCCATTTTCAGCAGAAAACAAGCAGGGTTACCGGCTATAATGACTGAGTACTTCGGATCTGGATTTGTGGTTTCTTTCTTTATAGTAAGGTACCAGCTCCTTAAAAAAATGAGGACATTTAACAGAATGAAGATTATTTAAGAGATGGGACCTGAAAATTGGACTAAGCTCTTGAATTTCTATTACTAAAGAAAATTGTAAATAATTTAATCCCAGCACTCAGGAGGCAGAGGCAGGTGGATCTCTGAGTTCGAGGCCAGCCTGGTCTACATAGTGAGTTCCAGGACAGGCTCCAAAGCTACACAGAGAAACCCTGTCTCTAAAAACAAAAACAAAATGTAAATAAACTTTTAAAAAGTGTACAATGGACAGTGGCCATGTACAAAGGAGGACTCTGATCTCAAGTATAGTTCCTGCTCAGGAGGCAGGCCTGTTGCTATACCACCTTAGACAGGAAGCAAACCACTGCTTATGGTGACCAGACAGGAAGCCATGCCACTCTGTCAAAGTGGCAGAAAAAAAAGCTGTATACTCCCATAACCCCAGCACTCAGGAGGTGGAGGCAGAAGAATCGAGATCAAGGTCACCTTCAGCTGTATGGATTTAAAGCCAGCATGCTTACATGAAACCTATCTCAACTCCCTACCCTCCAAGGGTTAATTTTTAAAATTTATTTTAAAATAATCAAGTTGTGTGCAATGAACTCACTGGGCTAGATACTGAGACCCTGGCTCTAAAGATGGGTGATAATAGGACTGGAGAGATGGCTCAGCCGTTTAGAGCACTGGGTGCAGAGGACCCAGGTTCTGTTCCCAGCACCCGCATGGCCACTCAAAACTATCTGTAAACCTCAGCTCCAGGCTGGATGTCCTCTTCTGCCTCTCAAGGGCACCAGGCACTCACTTGGTACATGCAGGTGAAATACCCATACACATATGTAAAAATTTAAATATATAGTCATAATCAATTAGAACAATCAGTAGAAGTGGGGTGATGCTCATTAGCGGTGACTAAAACAGCAACAAAGCAAACAGGAAATGCCTGGCGGATGGTCGCTTCAGCTTCAGTTCAGAGTGGCCAGCCCTTCTTGCTACTGTTTTACCACTGTGGTAAACAGAGTCATGGCGTCAAAGTGTTCATCTGGGCTAGGGAACCAGAGCTGTGAGAACTTCCACAGATTGTTTACCCCTCCCATTTTCCTCCTTAACCTCCTTCACCTCTCTTTGTAGCAACTTGTGAAGGAAGCCCCAGGATGCTCTGGGAAATGCCCTGCGAACAGCATCTGGGCCCGAGTTGAAGTCAGAGCCAGGAACACAGTAATTTAGGGGTTCTCTCACTCCTGAGACTCATACCCTAGTGGGCTCAGGACTGTTGTCTGAGGTTTTCTGACTCACCCAGTCCTTGTTCTGTCCGGTTCCTGCAACAGTTAAGTCCCAAATAAATCACACAGAGGTCTATATTAATAATAAACTGATTGGCCCATTAGCTCAGGCTTCTTATTAACTTTTATAACTTACATTAACCCATTATTCTTATATATGTTAGCCACATGGCTTGGTACCTTTTTCAGTGAGACAATCACATCTTCCTTCTTCTGTGATTGGGACAGAACTGGGAAGGAACGGGCTTTCCTCTTCTCCTGTTCTCATTGCCCCGCCTCTACTTCCTGTTTGGTTTTCCTGCCTATACTTCCTGCCTGGCTACTGGCCAATTAGTGTTTATTAAAACATAATTGACAGAATACAGAATTGTCCCACACCACAGGACGATATGGCAGTTGCCTCTGAGCTGCATACAGACACTCATAGGGACATTCTGATCGTTTTGCAAAGCAGCCAGAGTGTTGGAAGCCGCTCAAACCTGAGGTGAGGAATATAGACAAGGAGAATCAAACCCCCATGTCTGCCCAGAAGGTCCAGAGGCTGCAAACCTCTGCCCTGGGTTTGTTGGATCTGGTCTGTATGGTAGCCCCCAAAGTCTGAAATCATTGTCACCGCTTAGAGATATGGATGTTGACGCTCAGCCTGTGAAGTGCTTGCTGTGTGAGCATGGGGTCCTGAATCCAATCCCCGCAATCTCTGGAAATAGCCAATGGTGCTGTGCACTGGTGATCCTAGCATTGCGGGGTGGGAAAAGGGAGGACCAGCAGGTCCCTGGGGCTCCCTGGTCAGACAGCCTAGTCTGCTTGACCAGCACTAGGTCAGTGAGAGACCCTGGTCTCAGAAAAACCAAGGTAGACCTCTGAGGAATGACACCCACAGTTGACCTCTGACCTCCACATGCGTGTACACACATGCACACCTCCCCACATGCAAACAGGACAGCCGACGCTTCAAAACCACTTTTTAGATTGCTGTGAAACTGTGCAAGTTCTGCCCACACAGGCCCACATCCCCAGTTGGTGTAATTGGCTGGCAATGAGTCCCAGCTGCCACCAGCCCCAGTTCTCAGTCTCTGCCGCTGCCCTGGCACTGATGGGCTGCGATCCTTGACGGGCCGCTTCAATGACAGGGTGGCCGCAGAGACCACCGGATGGTTAGCCTGGACCCTAAATTCCCACCCACTTCCCCAGCCTACTGCACCCCGTCATGAGGGCACGGGAGGACCCGGGAAGCTGGCTAAGCTGCGTTCTATTGAAGAAGCGGCCCAAGGCTTTGATTCGCATAGACAGACCGCGGCTCTTTGTTCCTGCCTCCCGTACCCCTGTGGCGACTTTTATTACTTAATTATTACACGCCCCACGCCTCTGAGTGGCCTAATTTATGACTGTGCTTTCTAACGACACTGTGTGCGTAATCTGGAAATATCTACCCCAAGAGGCTGCTCCCAGCGAACAGCCCCACCGTATCCATTACTTCCTACCAGCTCTTCAGCCCTCCCCCAGCCTGGCTGACCGACTCAGCGTCCTGCTCTGGGTCAGTCCTGGGTAGAGGCGGTGGGGGCTGAGCCAAGGGGAACCTGTGAGGCCGTGAGTTATGGCAGGCAGCCCTGGCCTAGGTCTTCCATGGCCACCCACAAGCTGGCTAGTTTCCGTTCTGGCTCATTAACGTGGATAAACAGGTGCAGAGGCTGGCCTGGTGTGGAGAAAACTCGGGCCATAAATTGGATGTTATCGCTTCTGCGTGGTCCCCGGTTTCCGAGCTAAGCCTGGACTCGAAGCCGTGGTCCACTAGGCTCAGCTCCCTCTTCAGCTGCTGGCATCCACTCTACCCTGCACTTCTCTAGACTTCCAGCCCTCCTGGCTGGAGTTCTTCCTCTTGCCAGGACACGCAGGTACATGAGCACCCCCATATCGTCTCTCCTTTGCATGTAGGCCTCAGTTGTGGGGTTACCTCTACTAAGGGCTGGTTCTCAGCTACCCTGCCCTAAACAGCCCT